TTAACTGAAACAGAAACAGCTCTGTAGGAGGAATACAACTGGGTGGGGAACAGCCAAACTCAGCTAACAAGGTGAGGTTGCTGACGACAGTTTACTGTCAAAGTCATACACCATGGCAAGATTGAGCACAGCAACAAGACACAACGTGGCTATACTGCATCAGCAAGGTCTCTCAGAGGCAGACATTTCAAGGCAGGCAAGGGTTCCCAGATGTGCTGTCCAAGCTCTTTTTGAAGAAGTACAAAGAAACAGGCAACGCTGAGGACCGTAGACGCAGTGGTTGGCCAAAGAAACTGTCCTGCGGCTGAGGACAGACACTCGCAGCTCAACTCGCCTCGACTCGACTCTACTCGACTTGTTTTGGCCGTGCTCTGTTTTCCATTGCACATAGTACATGGGGTGGTGATGGCGCATAGATAAGATGCTTGCCATTGGTGTGGGAGACCTGGGTTTGATTCCCACTGTGAGACATCCACCATTGTGTCCCTGAGCAAGATTAACCCCAAGTTGCTTCAGAGGCGTGCGACCTCTGACATGTATAGCAATTGTAAGTCGCTTCACGATGAACTGTGGACACATAAGGTGTTTATAGTCCAGCTGGCGTTGATTGAAGAGTCCTGACTGGTAGGTTCGGTCGGATCACAGTCACACTAATAACAGACGCCAGCGAACAGCAACCAGGAAGTAGGTGATCTCAGCTCCAGAGGAACCAATCCTCGACAGGGAATCAAACAGCTAGGTTTGCATGTCAGAATCATAGGAACACAACAATTAATATACACTAAGGCAGCCAGCGGCGGCCGTAACAATACGAAAACTGTGAAATATAAAACTTTCTGTTGCTGGCCTCTGTCTGGCGCGCGCAATGATGATGCAGTGAATAGTGACTATTCTCTCTCACCAATCCGCCTCAGCTCGCTTGGAACCTCGACGGAGGTGATACGAAAAAAAGTACCTGGAAGCAGGTACAGGTACAACTTTTCCACAATGGAAAACCAAACAAAGGCGAGTCGAGGCGAGTCGAGCTGGTACTATGCGGTGGAAAAGGGGCTTTACTTCCCTTCGTATTCAGAAGTGCCATCAGCTCAGAGCTGCAGAAAACAGTGGGAGCCTGGGACCCATCTACTGTCCGTAGAAGTCTAGTCAGAAGTAGCCATCATGGAAGACTTGCTACGGATTAGCCAAACCTCCGACATGGAAAGATGTCTAAGCAACTCAACTATGCACAAAAACACAGGGACCGGGTGCAGAAAAATGGCGGCAGCAGGTGCTCTGGACTGATGAGTCAATTTGAAATATTTGGCTGCAGCACAAGGCAGTTTGTTGAACTGTTTACTCACTTTGCATTTTGTTAATTGATGAATAAAATTAACGTGTCTATTTTTGAAGACATTCTAACTTTACTGCATTTCTGCCACACGTGCAACTTTCCAAATACTTTGCACAGTACTCTATTTTACTTACTTATTAAAATGCTCTTTACACTGATATTCCATCAGGTGTTTCCTTTGAAGTACTTGGACCCCTCGTCCTCTCTGGTTGTTTTATTCAATCTTTATGTTATTGGCAAAAAGAACAATTGAAAAATCAGATTGAGTAATTTGTCATCACCTTTTTAAATGAGCCCGAGATATGTTTTCTTATATTATGGTAGCTCATAAACAACTGTACATCGGTACATCCCTGATAAAGACCCTGATAAATCTGTAGCTGCATATCCCCAGACATATGTCATTTTGTGATTCTGATGATCTTAAATAGACTAATCTTGTATGCCTGTAAACATGAATGTGTTTACTTCAGTTTACAAAAACATTGACAACAGAAAGCAATGTCATGTTATTACATTAAGTGCTTTAAACATGTCTCTGTGGTCCTGATCACATAATGTAATGTGTTTACTCATTAGCCTCAGTGCTCTTTTGTACCATTTTAGTAATGAATACTAATTAATAGTATAAGTGGGGATGCTTCACTGACAGCATCACTGAAGTTAATTGACCCTTGACAACAGATATGAGTGTATGAGCCCGGAACTGTGTTTAATCTCTCAAGTCATCCGAGTTTCATTGTCTGACGTGTCGTAAAAATTAACACATCTATTATCATCTATTGAAACAGCAGCGCAGACACTGTGACAGTGTGGTCAAATAAACACTTAAAGGATCATAATATTTCTGCTGGCATTTGAGCTGCTGTTTAAAATCTGAACATAAATATAAAGATAAGAATACAGAATAGAAAGAGGGAGTAAATGAAGTGCGAATAAATAAAGTAACAGGTACAAAATGAGAATTGTCAGAGCAACGCTACCTGCTGATCCTAACAGCACTTCCCTTTGGCTATGTGTGTGTGTGTGTGTGTGTGTGTGCACGTGTGTGTGTGTGTGTGTGCATGTGTTGGCGGGCTGATTTGCAATGCTGAGTGCACTGAGTGGGAGGATGAGGAGGAGAGATGAGACCGAGAGGCAGGGGCAGAGTGAGGGAGAGATGGTTTTAGGAGAAAGATAGTCAGAAAAACAGTGGATGGAGAGAGAACTGGAATACATGTCAGAGCACTCAAGAGTCACACCAATCTACTGTACTTAGACGCGCACACACACTCGCGCAAACAGTGTAGCAGTTTTCCCACGCAGGGCCAGAGGTGAGCGTTATTCCTCCCACTGTAATTACCTCTTTCTCTTCTGCGTCTCTCTATCCCTCTGTCTCTCTGACAAACACACTGAAAGACACCTACACACAAAACATTTTGTTTTTTCAAATGATTTCTGAGCTGATAGCTTCACATACTGTCTGTTTACCCTTCAGCGTCACATGAAAATCTGTTAAGGCAGACACATTCACACTCCGGAGGTCAGGGAGATGTTATGAAATATATCAGGAAAGACATTTTGACACATGAATATGGCAAAGATTTATTTCCAATATATTTTGATTGTATTATAGAGCTTATATTTAGTTAATTGACTGTTGACAACACAAACAGAGAGGAAACAACCTTAACAAGCGGAGAAAACTGAACTTAACAAAATGTTTGACTTTATCGTGGATTTATACTTTACTTTAGGGTGATGGTGAGTCTCATTTGTCAATGTGGAAAGTTTAAACAGTTCCTCTGCAACTGATCAAACTCAGTCTGCTGATGAAGCAGGTGCTACAGTCAAAAGCTCCAGAACAAGAGTGTATGTGGCTCTTGAGTCGAGACTGACTTGTCAACAACAAAATAGGGCAACTGGACTTGATTGAAGATTCTCGAAGACGTCCTCATCCGAGAGGCTTCTTCAGTTCTGACCATAGACCGTATAAAAGAAGTACACGTAGTCATCGTGACGTCACCCGTTGGTTTGTGGACTGCTGTTTTGAAGCCTTGAGTTTGGCCGATTGGGCGCCACCATGTTGATTTTTTGCAGCCAGGAGGTGCCCGGAAGTGACCATATTTGGACAAGACGGTGGCGCTAACGGCCATGTGTGGAGCTAGGTGCATCTGTAATTCATGTTAACTGTCATTTTAACAGGGCTTACAATTTTGTTTAGCAAACAACAGTCTTGAACACAAAATGTGCTCACCAGAGAAAGTGAACCAGAGCCAACTCCTAATAAGCTTTTTCAACGGCGCTGGTCGCCATGGTAACGACTTCACAGATGCAATCTCAGATAATCCCGCCCTGAAGCATACTCTGCTTTATGGTCTATATTCCTGTAAATGGGAGCATAATTTACTAAATGAACATCATGTTGTATTGAAGAAGACATGAAACTAGATTTAGACCTCAAACTCATTATGAAGGTGTTTACTGAGGTAATGAATCAGCTGAGAAGAAGCGTCATTGTACCATTTTTTTCTAATGAAGCCGGACTTCTTTTTGCAACCAGAAGAGTCGCCCCCTGCTGGCCGTTCAATAGAATGCAGGTTTAAGGGACTTACGCATTGGATCAGGTCTCAGACTGGAAGCTTTCTGCTTGGTTCTGACTCACTGAACTGAAACTCAGCTATTTAACCTCTGTGGGGGCGTCGCCAAGATAATCGATACTGCTGGTTTGTTAATGCCCCTGGCTTGCTGTTGTAACGACAGTCGTTTGGTCGTTGGAGTCACCCGAGGTCAAGTCTGAACGACCATCGTTGGCATCCTCACCTGAGGCCAAAAGTGAACGTTTGTTTAGTTTCCTGGGAAGAGATGAAGAGACAGCATTGTAAGTGGGGGGGATATGTGGTGTCGCAGACCTCCTCTCCTGTTCAGCGGTTTCTCAACGTGGGTGTAAATGTTGAGAAACCTTCGCTTCGCTTGATCAGGTCTTTTCGTGCTTTACTAGCAGATGAGACATGATCACAGCTTGTGTCTGCTTGGTGTGACTAAAGTAGGCTATACTGTGCACCTGGAAATAACTCAAACAATAAACTCAGTAAAATCTTTCTAGGTGTTCTCCTTTTCTCTGACAGTGCCCAAATCTCACCCACGCTCATTATCTCAGTGTTCAACTCTGTATCTAGCTAGGATTCAAATATACATGATACTTTAATCTAAAGAGTTGTCGCTCAGAGATTTGACATTCAGAGGCAGGCAGGTATCACTAAAGTGGTTTCAAAATACAAAACTAGCTTACAGAAGGTCATTAAGGGTGACTGCAAGTGCATTATGTGAAAATCTGTTGCATTACAAGTTCAGAGTTGGTACTTCCTCTTGATACACCGTATATTCATTTGAATAACCTCACAAGGATGTCAAAATAAGATTCTCTTTTAGGCAAAAATGTTTATTAAAAATGTAACAGTTAGGGAAAGATATTTCTATAGAAGAAAATAGTAAGGTCTTAGAGGAGGAATTGACAAACCACATGGTTCACATCCTCTAAAGAACATCTCCGCTCCATACGTTCCCGGGGCTGTCTGGAGACCTCAGCGAATCTCTGAACTCAGTACAGGAAACATTCAGACCTGGCTGTAAGATGCCTCTGACTGAGCTGAAGTTTGCTCACTGACTTTGTTTCCTCTGTGTTCTGCAGTGATTTTTCCCAGAGGCAGCGAGTGAACAGTGACAGCTCTGCTGCTGACGCGTTAACACACACACCTGTGGCCAGCAAACTCAGCAGGTATACACACGCTCAGTAGTGTGTTCGTCTGTGTGTGTCTGTGTTATCTTAACGTGTTCGAGCTGTTGGTTGTATCTTTTTTTTTTGTTTTTATCAGCATATAAGTGTTTGTGTCTGATGGTTGTATCTAAAACATTTGAATAACTATATTGGTCTGCTAAACACTAAGTGTGAGCCAGTTGTCCTTGTGAAACAAAAACTTGGTAGGTATAATACTGGACCAGAATCTTAAAAACATGGAAAATGGGCCAATAAACTTATATATATATATTTTACTCTGTATAATCTTAACAAGGTGGGCACTGAGGCGTAGCTCCTGGTCATTTGCTCAGTCCAACACAACACTAATGTTTAGCCCTACGTTTACGTCACAGCTTGCCTCTCATTTCCTTCGCAGCACGCTCTCATTCCCTGTCTTCTGCATTACTCCCTCTATCCGTCCCTGTAATATTTAATAATATTTAATTGGTATCCAGTGAGCAAACAAGCGGGCAGATATTGTGGTGGGTGACAATCGCGGTCAAATAACACGAGTAATGATCCGCGCGGTTACAATTTCCCATTAGAAAAGAAGAAGCTGTCAATGTTGCGACTGTCATTTCTGGTAAGTGCGTCGCATCCTTAGTCCATTTGAGACAACACTGTCCTGTTAAAATGTACGCACAACGTAAGTAAGTACACAATATACACTGTAAGTTAGTGTACTAACGGAAGTACCCGAATTGTGACGCAGCTTATGTTCTCTCCTTCAACTCTCCAGACCTGCCATCCTCACGCGTCCACCAGATGTCCTCAGACTTTCCTTCCTTTCCTCATCACCTGACTGCCCCACCCATTCACACACCTGTTCCCACTGCTCGTCAGCTATGCAGTCACCTGAACTCCCCCCTCTATCTCCTCACCTGCATGCCATTCACCATTAATACTGATCTGTTGCCTTTGCCCTATCATGTAGTGTGCACAGCCTGGCTGTCCAGCCCTCTGTTTACCTGTTTGTGTGTCTGTTTTGGACCTTTTCTGCCTGCTCCTTGTTTGATCAGTTTGCCGTTTGGACTGCCTTCTCTGGTTTTGACCCTTGCCTGTCTCACCATCCCATAAGCCTTTGTACCTCCACTTGTGTAATAAAATCATGAACATGTCATTTAGCCCAGCCTCCGCCGGCTTCATTTGGATCCTTCTCCTGTTACCCTGCTTGCACCAACCATGACAGTTTATTCCTTTTAAAAATGGTGTCTTACTAAAAACTCATTGCATCATTTTTTTTGCTATTTTTTCTTTGAACTTTAAGGGTGCTTTCTCTGATTTGGTTATAAGTAACCAAATAATACCCCCAGATCCCCAAAATGCTTCCCAGCTCGTTTTTGGTTTGAAACTCAACACTGTTCAGTTTAATCACTCCCGTCCCTGCCTGAACCTGCCATGTCTAACTCGGAGTTGTAGTCCTGGTTGGAGCTGCTGTAAATCACCTTGGGACTGTATTCTCTGTCGAGTTCAGAGGCTGTGTTCGGTGCTTGTCCCATGTTCAGTATGAGGTTGCTGAGCCCTCTTTGGTTGCCTGCTCACTCAGCTCAGGTTCTAGTGCTCCTTCTGGTGGAACTCCCTGGCAGCATGCCCTGCTGGGTCCTTTGCCCCAGGCCTGAAAACATCCTCCTCCTATTGGGCCAAAGCTCCTGTGCTAGAGGTGTAAAACAAACCAACACTCCCCTAGGTGTCCTGAGCTCACAGTCTGGCAAGCGTCAGCTAATATACACTAACAAGCTAATGGCAGAGCCATAGATGTATAATAAAGCCTTCTGAGTTCTCATAATACATCCATGGGCAGAGCCTACAGTTAGCAGCAGAGCTCCAGTAAGCGACTTCCAAGTGAGAAAATGTCCGTGTTGCAACAATCCCCTGATACGTTTGTCCCAGGTGTAACTTCAAGGAACAGCTCCCAAATGGAGTTTGAGGTTGTTGTTTTTTTTCTGTGACTAACTGACCAATGAAAACTCTTGTCATCAACTAACACTTAAGTCTGCTATGAATTGTTCCTCTACTTCTTGTTTGGCATCATGCTGTAATTGGTTTGTGTTTTGCAGGGCGGGTTGCATCCATCGTTCCAACACCACTGCGGCTGATTTTAAACCAAGACTGAGGTCAGTACACTTACAGACATATAATTGTACTGTTATTTAATCAATAAATCATCAATACATCACAGGAGATAAATATTAAACACTGTTATCCTCATCATTAACCTGTGACACTACTTAATCTACCACAAGAGACAATCTTACATGCCAATGTGTGAGAAAGCTGCTGTTTGATGTCTTTGTCTGAGAGTGTGTTCAACCATGGCCGTAAATCTCATCTAACAATAGGGGGGGACAGTAAACTTTTGAAGGGGAAATAATACTGCCAAAATTGTATTTTTATATGATACGTGTACACAGAGGGAAGTTTTGCTATTATTTTTCTGGCCAACAACACAAAGCAATAGTTGTTTAAATATGACTTAAGGTCATAGGTTCACCACGTGGCCATATTATCCTAAATAACTTGCGTCCTCTAGGCTACATAGTAATTTAGGTTTCTTGTGGGATAGAGGATGTCTCTCACTATAGCCTAATATTGGTTCACACAGGATTATTGCTGTAGTAAGAGATGCGCAGATGATTATTTTTCCTGGCTGATTCCAATTACTGATTTTTTTTTTTAAAAGGTCTGACCTGCCGATTCTAATTTTGACCGATTTACGGTTTTATTTCGTTCTAAGATCTATAACTGACTACACAAACATTTTTGTAACTATTTTTTGGAAAAATCTATTTTAATTAGGATCCCCATCAGCACCAGTATAAATGTTAGCTATTCACTGGTGTTGATTATAAAATAACATTAGCATTTTCACTGGAAGGAGCTGAAATAAATTGCACACCATTTTAATTCTACTTAATTCTCCAATTTATTTGTGTGTTTAATCACAAACCACAGTAAGCTAATCTGCTTTCTTTTCCCATCAGACACACAAGCACACTCCTACACCTGTCTGACTCTCTCCGTCTGCTCTGACTTTACTTGTCAGCAGTTTTTTTTAAAAGAACTCCTGTTTCATACTTTTCACCCGCGATTCCGTTTTCACAGATGAGCCACGTGTGGAGGAGGCTTGTTGTTAATTACCGATAAAGACCACCGTGGTATGAATGACATCGTCACCAACAGCTGTGTTTACTGTTGCTTTACCTGCTCCCTGCTTTACAAAATCCACAGCGTCTATTTCTGTATGTTTCTCTGCAGATGTAGTCATCGTTGCGTCTCCTTCACTCTCGTGAATAACTTCCACACACCTAAGACATGTTTCAGCCTGTGTGTGTGTGGCTGTGACATGAGGCTACAGTCTGTGCACACATGTGAAACACAACGCATCGCAGCCTGTTTGTAACGCTCAACGTGACCGGCAGAAAATTGGATATTTGACACTGCTCGGCCCCGGTCACCGGTCAGAGCCGAGTAAGCCAAACAAAACGGCCTATTTCAGTCCCCAGCTGATCAATCTGCGCATCTCTAGCTGTAGGAGGTGACTTACAATCCAATAAGTTGTTAAACAAGCTACCGGAAATGTTATAATAACATAGCGGGCTCATAGAAAAATAATCGGTTATCATAACTTTTTGTCATGATTAATTTATTAATGACTCAGCTGCAGGCTATTAAAGACAAAAGTTCATCCAATGTTTAAAGTGCATAAAATAGCCCTGCTGTCTGCTTAACATTACTGGAGCTTCCGAAGGATTTGAACTGGTTTTCTCCGACCGGACTCCTGTGAGGGAAAGCAGGCTGTGCAAACCATTGTCAGTCACGGGAGGGGGGACTCAAAATGTTTCTAAACTTAAAACGCACTTTAATTGCCCTGTTTGCGTTTGTATTGTTTTACTATTTACACAATTATTCTAAGTATATCATATTATTTGATGGTTTTTAAGGGGGGGACACCCCCCCCGTCCCCCCCGGGATTTCCGCCTATGTGTTCAACTAAAACGTTTCGTTCATTAACCCCTGCGCGAAGTTCTTGAGATTCTCTGTGTGAGTCAAGTCTCTATGTCACACCCCTCTGCTCATTAAAACATGCTGGTACTCATTAAAGCGAAACACTACTCTGCTCATTAAAACACTATCGCACTGGCAAAATGAGTACATGTAGTTTAAACAGTTTAACAGGCCTGTGTGTGTGTGTGTGTGTGTGTGGCCATGCATGAGGTTGGTGTTGGTGTCACGTGTTTTCCTGTATGTATTTCCACCAAATTATCTCCACAGTTCTAGATATGCGCTGTGTTAAGTAATGCAGTGTTTGTGATGGACAGTATGGTTGATAATTAAGTAAGAATTTACAGTTTCTTTAGGAGAGGTAGGAAAACTGACAAAACATGCAACAAAACATTAATCATCTAATTTATGGGAGCATTAAAACCCAAGATGCAATGCAAGATCTGAACTAATAAACTATAAACTATGTAAACTAAGTAAAGAGGGTGTTGAATTGAGCTCCTATCCACAATCTTCCACAGAGGAGTATAAGAGGTTGTCAGGTTTATTCTTTTCATAGTTTCTCATCATTTGTATTTTGTCTTTGTTTCTCAGCACCAAGCCCACAAATATTGGCAAATATTTAAGATATATGCAGTAATTTCTTAAAACACTGTAGTTTCTTAACAAATGTTAGTCAAACAGGAGAAAATAGTGCATTGAAGATTAAGGTCATATAAGTGTTTGAGCATGATTGTGTGTGTATGAGAGAGTGAGAATTATAGGTTTTAAGCACTGCAAATGGCTGTAAATGTAGACAGAACAGAAACCTTAAGTGGTTGAACAGCTCTTCTGTCTGTGTTGGTCTCACTCCCCAGACAGGAAAAGGAGAGAGAAAAAGGTAATACACACACACACACACTCACACACATTTCTGTGTCCTGTAGGTAGTTTGTCGGACATGTCTGTTACAGTTTGATATTTGATTTAAATATTTAATTTAAATTTCATCACACTGAACTGTACCATATAGCTGACAGGTGTGTGTGTGTGACGGAAGAAGTGAGACAGCTTCTGTGTCTCCAGCGTTTTCTTCTCTGACACATATTTTCTGTCTCTTTCCGCTCCCTTTGCATGCATGTGTGGGAGCCTGAGCTTTCTTTTTTATTGTCAGCTTCACTGTGGTTTTATTCTCGGTGGGAGCTTGCGTTTTCTGGTTCAGTTGTGTCTCTTTTTCGGCGGTGAGTTTGCCAGCAGGTTTGCGTTTGATTCCCATTTCAGTGTTTTGCATTTTGAGTTGAACACAACCCAGTTCTTGCTGTCAGTGATTAAAGGCACTATGGAAATGGGTCCCATTCTGCAGCAACAGCAACTAATACAGTAGTACTGTTATTTCTGAAAGAGCCAGGCTGACAGACCTCAGTCGAAAGCCTTCCCTACAACTTTTGACTGTTTAGCATACGTACATAAATTTACATCTTTTAAGGATAAGCCCGTTTTTTTCCAATTTGGGTCTTATTTTTGTAGTTTTGTCCATCATTTCTGTCAGTTAATCACCAAATAAATAGCTGCTGTATAGGAAAACTTTACTATCATATTATTATCCTTTAAGCCTGATAGCGTCTTAGCTTTTCAAAGTCTTGGCTATATTAACCCTCAACCCTTTTAGCATTGTGTCTGTATTACCTGTAAATGCCTTAAAGAAGATTTAAACACCCTCACCATCACATTATTACCAAATCTTGAAAGGATTCAATACTAAGTAATAATACAAGGGTCACCTTAAACCACAAACTAATTGTATGTAGTTCAGCTTTCAAAAGGAAATGTAATACCTGGGGAAATGCATGCATCAACCGCCATATTGTCTGTCAAGTAAACTTGGAGGACTGCGTTTAAAATACAAAGAATCAACTTGTTGATCCATTGAGGCAAATCTTATAGGTTTCAATAATTTTGTGTTTCTCTTAGAATGCTAAGTATAAGTGATTTTACTGTGAGTAATCCATCAGCCTCTCACATTTCCCGGTGGCTATTTCAGATTTCTAGCACCTTTGAAACGTTCTGAAGGACATTCAAAATAGTCTGTGGCCTCTGAAATAGCTGTAGGGAAATGAGAAAACAAATGTCCACCCATGTAGGGTTCAAACACACAACCCTTAGATTGAGACTCCCCTGCTCTAGCAACTGGGCTAACCAAGCACACTAAATTATTTTCTTGAGCTCTTGAATTAATTGTGCCGTTATATTATAATGTCAGTAAAACCATGAATGAGGTAATATTGACCGTGATGCGATGAATGACGTCACCAGGACCATGGTGATGTATGGTGTTACAATGAGCAGGACGATGTAGCGCTCACCAGAAGCAACAACCATGACAGCACTTACAAAAAGCAAAGAATATGACAGGACCTGCGAATGTGACTTAGCAATGGAACTAGTACAGTGCTTGTTCACAAAGCTGATGTGATGCCTCCCTGCGCTTTTTAGACAGCGCAGTGCTTGTTCACAATGTATGTCTCATATTGAACTTTGAACTTCATAAAACTCTTACAACTCTGTTTCATTCACTACCATATCGGAGCATTTAAAGCCCTGCCCCCGCGAGCGCACCCCGCCCTCGCTGTTGCAGAACGGAGCGGCTCACTCTGAAGATGTCGTGTGTTAAAATTGCTCTAAATGACGCACTGCACTCCCTTGGGCCCACAGCAACACACCCGCCACGTGTGAGGTTGATTGGATGAGCAATTCCCGACATAATCGAAATACAAACACACAGACACAGATTCCTGCCTTTATTAGAGAGATGCATGATGATGTAGTAATAGCAAATACCATCCACATCATGGGGATCTCTGTCCTGCCAGTCGAGAGTGTAGGTTTATTGCTTGTGTTTTATCCTGGAAACAAACACAGATGACTAGCAGGACATATCACTCCACCACGCAAGGTAACAGACTGTGGACACATAAATGAAGTATGTTCTAAAAAGCCAGAATTTGGAGGATACCCACTTGTCTAACTCAGACTGCTAAAGTCCATCTCTTTAATGTCTTAGTGAGCGTAAGTTAGTAAGATAGACTAGAATCTGAAGCTATCCTTTAAATACTTTGCTGTTTTTTTGGAAGCCCTTAGCTGCTCCCAGTAGCGTTCTCATTGAAATGAATGAGGAGACTGCATTTTTTTGACACAGCAGTATTCTCAGTCTGAACACAGGCAATCCGAGAAACTGACAAGTTCACTGAATGTGCCCCGAACGCTTGTTGACTACGATATGCACAGCAAGGATGATTTTGCATAATTTGTTTTGTAAAGAAGTAGATTTAGCCATGGAAACATTTAAATGAAATCTGTCTTGCTTTCTCTTCTTTCTTTCTGTCTAACATAACATGGATCTTCTATTCCTAACACAGACACCCGCCCTCTCTCTTTCATACACACACACACATGCAGATCAGTCCCATAAGGGTCAGACAGGTTGACTACGTCAAACTGACAGAGCGAGAGAGAGAAAGAGAGAGAGAGAGATCCCCAATTTATGAGTCTGTGAGAGTGAGAAGGGGGGGCAGGTCTTTGCAGTCTTTGCATAGCCCCTATGGTTTCATAAATCTCCTCTCCTCATCTTCCTTCCTCTCATGGCTTAAGACGGGCTCCATTTTCTCTGGTTTACTTAATTCCTTCCCTGGGCTAAATTCATTTAATTCTTACATACAAAGTGTGTGTTTGGTTTTGTGGTTTGTGTGTTGTCTTTGATTTTGTTTTTAAATAGGTTTTTGAAGCCCCCCCCCCCCCCCCCCCACACTCACACTCACACTCACACTAAGCCTAACATAACTGGATTAGGACTCAGCCATAGAGAGAGAGAGAGAGAGAGAGGGAGTGAGAGTGGGTATTGAGGTCAACCTAATAAACATTCCTCTCATATGTCAGCCTGGCTTCAGTGACACACAGTATGTGTTTCAACCAATAACCAATGATAGAACATGATATATTTGAAATGGTTTTGATGAGGATTTACTTGTAATGGCACTGTATATATACGGTTCGCCTCCTTGTTGTTTCTGTCCATGTTTTTATTAGAACGTGAAAGTGTGTGGTATCACACATCAAACAACTGCATCTGTTTCTGTAGTTTCGTCAAATATACAAAACAATAAGAAGAAACAATTATCTCTCTCTTTATCTATCTACATCTCTGTCAATTCAATTTAATTTAATGGGGCTTTACTGGCATGGAAAACACTTAAAAAATAAGAGAGAGCGAGAGATGGAGGAAAGAGAACACAGTATGTAAACACACTGAAAAAAACTGAAATACAACAATAATAGGACCAATCATAATTGTAGCAACGGGTGTCGAGCAGGAAAATCAGGGGACCACATATCCAGGCTCCACAGCTCTGGAGTCAGAAACACCTGCAGAAAGCGACACAAAGAGAGAGGAGAGGGACGAGAAAGCTCTAAACCACGGGAGAGGGAAGAAGTCGAGTTAGTAACATGCATTAATTGGATAAGAATGCATACAGATGGAGAGGCAGAGATGGAGAGAGGAGCCCAGTGCATCATGGGAAGTCTGGCTTCACTGATATAAATGTGCAGGACAAAATAAAAGACACACCTGTCAGTATAACGCAATACAATTCAACCGCATCACAAACTACATCCTCCAAAATGATCATACAGTTGAATTGTTCATACTGTAATAGTTTCCAATAGCAACAATTGAACTGCCGTGGTTACTCATTTTTTAAATTTTGCAATAGTAAGTTATTCTAATTTCTTAAGCCTGATAAATCCTGATCGGTGCATTGAGATATGTGACCTCACTTCACCCACCTCTTTAGTGAAATAACTAAAACTGTATGAAAAACCTCTCCATCAGTTGACTGACTGGATTATGGGAGCTCATTAATCCTGTGAGTCACAGCCTCCTTTCCATGTCACCATTTACAACATGAGATACAAAAGTGTTGTCACAATACCTAAATTGCGACTGTGATATGATACCTTCCTAAATATGTCCAAACAAATACTAAAACCTGTAAGTAATGGAGTTATGGCCTTATTATTATTATTATTATTATTATTATTAGGGTCCTAAATCTTCTTCTGTCTAAATCTTCTACTGTCTTTTGTCTTCTTGCTACAGCTTAACCAGATGTCACTTTATATTTTTGTAACTCTGGCACTCTTTTATCTGCAGCTTGATGTTTTTGTGTGATTTCTTGTTATCATAAGCTCAAAATCTTCTTTGTTGTCTCTGATTTGTCTGTTAGAAAACACACTAAGCAGAGAAGGCCACATGCTTTTTCTTTGTCTAATAGTCTCTCTGTCTCTTTCTCGTTCTGTCATGCTAGAGATGTTGATCGAGTGTGTGAAGAACAAGGATTTGAAGAAGGTGAGTGACAATCAAATCAATAATTAATGTTTCAAAATTCATCCATCACAGATATGGTTTTGTCTGAAAGCTTTAGGCTACTTTGGAGACTTTAAGTCTACCTCAGACCTGTTTATTGTCTACACTGTAACAACTTTCTCACACAATTTCAAGAAAACTTAGAATAGGGCAGAGTGACCAGATGTGAACAGGTGAAATTTGGGACAGAGGAGTTGGCAGTAAGCGTGGCCTCCAGTACATTCAGTGTCAAGGAACTGTAAAGTCAAACACGTCAGGTGTCGGGACAACTGCTCGTAATTTGGGACTTTCCCGAATTTACCCTAGAATAGGTGGGGGTTAATGAAGACAACCCAGGCCCATCGAAAAAAATCAAGTACAATTAATTAAAAATGGTACTATTTAAGAAGTTAAAGTTTTAGCATGGACTCTGCTATCACAACATAGGGGTCTATTTGGATCCATTTTTGCTTCTGGATATTTGATATTTTCAAATCAAGGTGAATCAGCTAAATGTCCAAACCACAGATGGTTGTTAAAATTTATGAAATTTGTTTCCTGTTTATATGTAGCCAAGCCAGTAGCAAGGGTAAAGGTGTGTTGTGGGAGGAAATTTTAGGATTTTCCAGAACCTGTTTGGAACACTCTTACAAAATGAGGGTGTTTATCTTTAAATCACAGTAATAAATTATTTTGGACGGATCGCTCAAGTGAAGGAACATGAAAAACCAAATTGGATAAACCAAATTTTACGGTTTATTAAGTAAATAAACGAAAACAAAAAATTGATTAAGTGGTGTCGAGAGACTGCTCCAGCAGAGTCTGCTGGCAGAGAGAGAAAGTGTGGTGCCACCGATTGTATAGGAGGAGTTAGTTGATTGGGTGCTACCTGAAACAAAGAACAGAAGCCAAGTACACACACACAAAAAAAACACATTTCCCAACGATACACTACCTGCAGAGCACCAAACAGCAGACAGACAGACTAGCTGGTGAACAGACAGATAGAGTTGGTGGTGGAGACCACAATCATAGGCTGGATATAAACAAGACTAAAAGAATACTAATGTTTCTCTGCATCTGCATGATGTATAAATAGGCGATGGTTTGTTAACACATTTTCCATCAACTATAGCTTTAAGTGAAATGAAAAGTGCTGTAGTATTCAGTTGAAATATTGCCACACATTTATCTTGTTTTTCATTGTAAAGCTCATTTTACCCCTATTTCACCAAAAGGTGCAGGAGCTGCACCTGAAGGGAGCAGACCTCACAACGCTGGACTCATCAGGCTGCAGTTTACTGCACCATGCTGTCAGTGCGGGAAGCAAAGAGATGGTCCGCTACATCCTGGACAGTGGTAACTGATTAAAACCGGTAGCATGAAAGATTAGCTCAAATTAAATTGTAATCAAACTATTGATAATACATTCAGGCTTCTGGACCACAAAATATATCATAATGGATTTATAAAAGCTGTCTAGATTTGGACAAAACACAAGTCCTTAAAGTTTTCTTTAACCTTTGTGTTTGGCATTTGAAGTCCTGGTTAAATCTTAAATTTTTTTATTTTTTTACAGCTCTCGAAAGCATCACACAATCTCAGAACCCATCAGCTTTTGTCTGACAACGATTTAGCCTCTGGGGCAAATGTTTTGGGGCTTCCTGTTGCAAGAGCCTAAGCTCGCTCAAATGTGATTGGTCAATACTTCTCAGTCTACAAATGAAAACCAGAACGCTCCTGATACCCAAATCTTGTCCCTTGCCTACAGATTCTGCATTCATATGCAGATATCTATTTTGGAGATTAAGCATCCCGCTACTTTGGTGCTAATTGTTGTCAGTGAACGTACAATAGATGGCTAATGCAGAACAGCTGCATATGAACTCAATTTGTTGGACACTTGGTTGGAATGTCATAGTTTAATTTGCACTCTACAGATAGGAAAGTAATAACAGTGAGAAATTAGGATCCGTGTTCCACTATTATAGGAAGATGTGAAATGTATTGGACTCAGTTGTTTTTATCATGAGATTTGGAAAATATAATTCTGAACTTTAATTAAGGAAAGGTTCATTATGTTCAGAGTGTTGTTATACATTGTGTTGTTATAAAGCTATATAATGCACGTTCTTTTTGCTCAAGAGTTATTTGTCACCATCTCACTGATTCAGTTTTTAATTTGAGTTCACAGAAAACCAGTGGACATAGAGAAATGTTTTGATTGACTTTTTACTGTGCCAGTGACACTGAGCAATAATAATCTGGTCTGATGTTGCAGTTATCTCCTCTCATCTCTCTGTTTTCCAGCTCCAAGTGACCTGCTTGATGTCACAGAAAAGCTACAGTAAGTAGAATCACCTTTTATCTTCTAAACCATTCAACAATTCAAGTATTAAAGTTGAATTAAACTAATTAGGAAAGAATTTGTGTTTTTAATTTTGTTTTAATCCTTTGATTGTCCTCTGACCACAATAAAATGTTTTATGGACATATTGTTGGTGAGAAAACTTTGTGCCATGACTGTAGCACCAGCTTTGACTTTGTTCCACACTGGACCAAATTTGAAAGAGAATAAACATAAGAACCCAAACAAAAGCAGTAGGGTGCCAGATCATAAATGGTACTCGACTCCCAGAAGATGTCAGAGGCTGTTATCTCATGCTCGCTCTCTCTCTCCCTCTCTGTCTCTGTTCTCTGGACCACCAGTGGGGAGACGGCCCTTCATCGAGCTGCATCTCTGTGTCAGAGGACCATATGTCATTATCTGGTAGAAGCAGGAGCCTCGCTGATGAAAACAGACCTACAGGTAGGTTCAGTACACATGTATGTATGTTTTTTTTTACACCTATTTCTAAATAGCCTGCTAATTTAAAACTCTTAAAAGTCTCAAACAGCTATTTCTGTTTTTCCAACTGAAAAGAAAGAACATGTTCCTGTTTTGCGCATTTCAAATTGGCCATAAACTTTTTATTTATTTATTTAACAGATGATAAAGTAATCAGATGTAATGTTTACAATAAGCAGACAGATTTTGTTTGTGCCAGATCTCATATGCTGAGTAACCAGATCAGTTTCCTGTTCCTCAAGTTTATACTCATGCATTACACATTCCCTATATTTATGGTGCGCTCTGGTGTTTATACCATTTAAATTATCTTTTGGCCTGTCTATTATTGTCCATCAAGAACATATCAAGCATTCTCCACAGCCTGGCAGTTCAACTACCTTAGGTCTACAGGGCTCCCTCCTCCATTTGTCTCCCCACGTTAGCCTGATGTGGTTACGAATAAAGGAAACACGAATGTTGAGCCTGTGACACCTTCAGAAGGCTGATGGCCTATAAACCCAACTCCAAGCTTCATTGTGTCCCAACTCAAACACTCCTGAATGTATTACTCTTTTTATGCTTAAATATATATTTTTAGCTCCTAACCCTGAGTGCAAAAGTTGTCAGGCAGTGGAAGGAACACTTTGAGAATCTCTAGGACCCGACGGACAACGCCTTCTGGTGAAGGCTCTGGGGTCGTCTTGCCCATTTCTCTGCCAGAGGTCACTAAAGTAGTCCAAAAGCCCTGCAGTGGCAAGGCACCAAAATGTATATTCTCCCTGAAATGCTGAACACTCAAAACTAGGTATTATGGGGCTGACTTGACACATCTTTTCAGTGTCACATGGAGGTCTGTGAAGGTGCCTGTGGGCAGAATGGGATTCAATTTTAGTATTCAATCTACGTTTTATCCTTCACCTATGGTCATGAGCTTTAGGCAACCCAAGAAATTTGATCCTGAAAACAAGCAGTGAAAATGAGACTCCCTTGTTAGAGAGAGAGAGAGAGAGAGAGAGAGGGTGAGGAAGCTTGACATCCAGAAGAAGTGTTGAAAGTCAGTCAGTTGAGGTTCAGCATCTAATCAGGATTTCCAGCACTTCCAACTGGGAGCAGACCCTGGGGCAGACCCAGAACATGCTGGAGGGATATATCCCATCTGGCCTGGGAAAGCCTTGGGATCCCCCAGGAAGAGCTGGGGTATGTGGGTTGACAAAGGGAAATCGAGGCTTTCTAACTTTGCCTGCTGCCACTGTGACACAGAGCAAACTGCAGAATAAGATGATTGAGTGCATGATTGAACTTTTTTTTTCTTTGCTAGGTCAAGAACCATTGCAGATATGGATCCATTATAACACTGTGTGCAATAGCGCACAACACAAATTAAACACGACAAAGTACTTTGCACTGTGAATAAACTTGATCATTTCTCTTGGAACCACCGCTGGTTGTCAAAATAACAGTTTGGAAAATTGCATTTCAGACTTGTTTTAGGAAAGGTCGGGTTCTGCTGGTGAAGTCTGCCATTTGTGTGTGTTTGGAGGGGGTGGGGTGTGCGCCCCAAATATGCATCTTCTTTCATTTTTTTGTTCAGTTTTCCACGGAGGCTTCAACCGAGTAGAAAACCCTTCTAACTGGCTGGACTCAGCAATGACCTAGATACAGAGAGGGAGAGGGGGGGAAAGAATGGAGAGTGTGAGACAGAGACAGACAGTGAGAGAGAGCGCGATGAATGGATAGAGAGACAAATGACTTGAGAAGGCTATGATTTTGACATTCGCGATAAATTACTCTGTTTTATCTTTACATCTCTCTGCAGTCACCACTTAGGGTCTCTCTCTCTTCACTCACTCTCACTCTGGGAATGTTTCCATATCTGGTAGAACCCTAAAGACAAACGCACACACACTGGACTCGTCTAATTAGAGTCTCTGGAAGTGCTTCAGCATAATGGCCCCATAAACAACCACTCAGAATATGTGTTGTGTGTGTGTGTGTGTCCTCTCAAGGACACATGTTGTTTATTTAATTTCAAATTCAGTTGTTTCTCATTATCTCATTTTTATCAGTTGGAGACAAAGCTACTTACAACACTTTTCAGTTAGAGAGAAATGTGAAGTGGAAAACCCAGGCGAGAGCTGCCCTGTAAACTTGTAAACTATCACACACATTTTAGACACCGCAAATGGAAGCCTAATGAAACACCACAGTCTCTCCAGCATAGAGGAGAGGAGAGGCTGTGGCAAGTGGGGATAAGACTCTAACCCAACAAATCCTGTCTTGCTTTTAACAAGACACAATGTCTAAAGCCCAGTGTTCATCACAGCTCACAGTGTAAAAGTGTTAGACAGAATGAAGAACACACTGATGATGTTGCAATTGTTAGAGTTGTAGGAGAAACACCGCTTTAATAAACACTCGTCGCCGCTGCACCACCCTATTTAATTATAGGGAAATTAAAACAAATTTACTAAAACTTGATTAAGAATTTGATCAGTCTCTGCAGAAGGAATTGGATTCTTTTGATAGATTGACCTGTACTTCCGCTTCAAAGAAAACACATAGACAACTTTTAACTGATTTAATTAGGGTATTTATTTATAGCTAAATACCTAATAAATGAGGAATTAATAATGAAAACAACAAACACAACAGATGAATAGCAGATATCATGATAAAACAAACCTGAACTTATTGAAAAAAGTGAGGTGGTGGTGCTTTCTGGTGTTGTGTGCAGAGTTCAGGCCGCCCGGCAGTGGGATGCAGTTACACTCCCAGGTGACTCCTGTAGAGCAGCTGGTCCGGTGTTGTGCTGGGTTTTGCATACCCGCCGAGAAGTGCGTGCACCTCACGGGAGGTAACACTGGTATATGCTGAGAAAAGAGGTGGATATATATCTCGGCATGAAGCCTACATCAACTGTTCTGCCGAATTATACATCCACCTCTCAAGTTACTTTTCAGACACTTTGCCGTGCACATTGATCAAATGCGGTTATCAGCGCAGATTTATACTGAATGTCAAAGAAGGCTACTTCTACTAGGTGTAATAAAATATAGATGACTCTAAACATTCATAAAATATATACTTTGAATCATTTATCAACATTGATGAATCCCACAAAGAATATTATATCATTTTTAACAGTACTTGGAAATGCATGCCATTCTCGCGGGCATGCAGGACTTGGCATAATACCGGCAGTCTTGTTGTAGGGCCAAGAACCGGGCGTGCACAGTGCACAGGAAGATGAAGGACTAGCTGTTTCTTCTGTTCTAACCCTTTTTGCGTTAGAACAGAGCAAGCTTCTTTTCAGAAACTTAGCTGGATTTCTTAATTAGGTAGCTTGCTGATTATCCTTAATTCAGACCTGGCTCAAAAGAAAGAATAATTACCCATCTTGTATGATGGACATCTGGCAAACCTTACCTCAGACCAAATGTTGGGAGAGAAGACAGTGTTTGTGTGTATGTTTAGTCTCTTGTGATTGCTAAAACAATCATAGAGAAGGTATATGGTTCTTCACATCGTGTACCTTCTCAGCGGTGAGAAGCTCTTGTCTTTCTTGGCAAGTCTTCAAAATGACACCTTTAAGAGAGAGACGTGTGGTTGAATCTGATCTGAAGGGTCTCGGGCTTATTCGATGGCAGTGACAATGTCAATGTGTGAGACTTCATTGTTCTCATTACAGAGTCTGACAGTACCAGAGGTCTGACTGTTTTAAGAGACCGCAGGTTCATTAAAATCCAAATGGTTCATCTTGAGAAGCATGAAAGCAAACAGTCGATCTGCTCATTAGATAATGAGGTACACTATCTGGTGTGTGAATTTTACTCGCTTGCGCAGATATGGATAAATTCTATGCTATTAGTCAGCAGATCATTTTACATGCGTAGGGAGATATAGTTCAAGCAGACAACAGGCTCTGTCGTGTTTCGTGCGCATCGGGATTAGTTTGATTCAGTCTCCTGTGCTAGATATCTGTCAGACTATCATCATAAATAGCCTGGTTTCCCAAATGTTCATACTAGGCTCAAAGTCTAACCCATCACTGGTTATGTGCACAGTTTCATTTGATGTTGCCCAATATATTCAGAATATTAACAAAAGACAATGGTGCCTGAGAAGAATCGGCGAAATCAGATGGGGCAGTGCGAGCTGGGCCAAAATGACACAAGGCAACACAGCAGCCATGGCCCCCATTAAATTCCTGCCCTGGATGTAATGTTCCTGCAACTCTCCTTAATCAGTTAACAAATATGTATCTCAGGACTAAAGAGGAAAATATGATTTTTTTGTTAAAAGGCTATTTTGAAAAAATGAAACCTAATAATAATAATAATAATAATAATAATAAAATGTTTTTTTGGTGCTCAATAAGGACAATTGATCACCAGATGAGTCTGTTGGACTCAAACAGGTGTGACTGGTTGACAATTAAAATGGTACTTCACTTTTAGACTTACTAAGTACCAGAATCAGTACTAGAATATTAATTACTTGTTATTTGATTTTTTTTTTTTACATTTAGATGTAGCATGTCCATTGTTTTTATGTTATGCTAGGTTTTGAACTTGAATAGTTTCCAAAATAGACGTGCACAGACTGTAAATGCACAGTTTTGCAGAGTTTGAGTGAGAAATCGATAACAAAGACGTGGTAATTGAATGCATTAGTGCCAAAGCGATGCAATTTCCTCCACACTTTAGTCCAGAGACACTGCTGTTGTCCTGACTTATTATTGAAAAGTGAACACAGTATTTAGAAATCCATGTAACCAACTGTACAATCTTTAATAAGTGACAATGAACTAAAAGTTGATGACAATGTGAACAGAGCTTCTGTGGTAAATAGCCAAAGTAAAAGCACCATAATACACTCTGAGCTGTGATAGTAACAGACGCAGAAAGGTCAGGGGGACTTCACGACATCCTGGCCTTTAGCTGTTGACATAGCTTAATGTGGACTGTAAATGTTGGGCTGCTTGTAGAATAAAAGAAAGGACAAGCAGCTGAAAAATAATCTCTCTGTTTTTCTGTGTTTCTTCATCAGGGTGAAACTCCTAAGAACAGGGCGGAGAAGGCTAATGATTCTGAACTGGCGGCGTATCTGGAGAACAGACAGCATTACCAGATGATACAGAGAGAGGACCAGGAAACAGCTGTTTGAAAGGGTTCAACTCTTTATGAACAGGATGTGGATGAAGAAACTGCTGTCTTCTTCCTTATCTTCATTAGAGTGACAGTAGCTCATTTAGGGCCGTGTGATAGGAGGACTGGTTCGCAGATTCCAGTTTGCTGCTGACCTTCCTTGAAAGCTCAGAGTGCAGACTAAGAGTGAAGCTTTGCCACAGCTGATCTCAAGATGCATTAAATAATGATTATGGCTGTGATTACAATGATGGTTACACTGAGGGTTGAAGCTTTTGTTAATGAGGTGAAGATATACAGTGAGATTAAAAGAGATCCATGAAGTCATTCCTTTTCATTTTGAGTAGCTCAAAAATAAAAAATGTTCTGAGGCCAAGACAATAGAAATCACTTTGGGGTTATCAGGATGTTGTTACTGACTTTGAATAGCATTCATCAAAACGCTTTCGTATCAAACTATTTCAAAAGGACTCATTTGGCACTAAAAGCGATCATTTATCATAAATTAGTGATAATGTAATGTTTTCCGGGGTCAGATTGTCTTAGTATCAGAATGTTGTTGTTGAAGAATCTCAGGACATTTATTTTATAAAAATCAAAGACTAAAACTGTAAAGCCAAGTTAGAGTAGTTTTATTTAGATGCTGCAATGTGCATTACACGCCTTATCAAAATGTAAGAACTGAAGGGGTACGATGAATTATGAAAATATCTCGTGTGTGCAGTGTTGACATTTTGGACTGAAGATGGCACTAGATGAACGGGGGAACCCCTGGAGAGAAAAACGGTCTCTCCCAAGAAAAAAAGAAGCAAATGGTCAAGGGATCAAAACCATTAGGAGACCTCCTCTTGGGACCATGAATATCTTTAGCTAATTTAATGTAAATCAGACCATTAGCTTATAATTTGCACTGCACCAAAGGTTGAAAATGTATGACAGAATGGTGTTAAGGTCAGTGGATCTTGAAGTATTGATGAATGGCAGTATCAGGTTTCATGGCAATCTAGTAGATATCAAGAGATCTTTTTTGGATAGTGTTGGACAGACCTAACTATGCTACTACTCCATCCATGAGTCCTGAATAGTTACTGCCCTGTTTGTTGGAGTGAAGCTCTGTGATTATTTCACAGACCATAAATGCCATCTTAAGTTATGTTGTGAACCTGCTTTACTCTAAAATGTTTTGATAGGTCTTACCTCACCCAAATGACTTTATCAATATATTGTATTTTCCCGATTTATATCAACATATTCTAGATTTTATGAATATTTATGTTTGCAAAATAATCCAAAAGTGGGAATTTTCTGGTGCCTGTACTAGGATTGAATGTCTTAAGTGAATTTCTGGACTGAGATTACTCCTCAGTCCATTTTAAGCATCCATCATGTTTCAATCAAATTAGATCATGATACACGCAGTGTACTTACACCCAAGAAAACAAATGTTCATATTTTCAGGTTGTTTAAGTCAAGAAAAAATAAGTCTCAAGTTATGTCTGATTATTATATTTAGTTGTGCCAAATTTGAAAGTTTGTTTACATTTAGAGATATCAAGCATGCAAATAATTATAGAGCTAAATAGCAACAACCTAAATCCCACATTTTCTCTCCACTCACTGACTGTTTTGAAACTGTAATGTGAACTGTGTTGAGTTCAACATCAACGCTGAGCTATAAGGGACATTTAGATTTTAGGGGCACTTACAGACAGTCACGTGCATTTGTTAGGATTACATTACTTAGCAAAAACTAGCAAGTCGACAACTTTGCTAACACCGGGAAACATCAAGCAAGTGCGACAACACAAGACACAGCAAGCCAGCTAATAAGTTATGTCTTACTCATCCAACAGCAAGGACACCAGCTCGGCATCTGTTCTGCGTCCTCTCAGCTCTTTTATCACTCAGAGTAAAAGCCAGTCCGATATTTACTCTGGTCCGGTGTCATGCTCGTTCACTTTTTCTCTTCCTCGCTTCCTCCGACGTCGTCTTTGGTCTCCTCACACCCTCTGCCATGATGTCCATACTGAGAATACCGAGCTATCTTCTTCCAAAGAACATACATTGTACATACTTTTTGCTTCTTCTTATAGCTCACTTGCTGAAGAGTCGGGTTGGTGCATTAAAGTATTACGACACAGTCGAGAAGGGTTTCGTGCACGGGATTCCAATGCTACATAGTAGCACTAACTGGCGCCCTGGCCCAAAGTGACAAAGACAGAGACACCATTCATCCTATTACAAGTCAGTGTAAAAAGTGTTGCTTTAAAGTCAAACCTCCCTTTTAATATCTGTCATCATTTATTCCTTTGAAATTGAATGTGGAATTTAAAAAAAAAAGACACAACCTCCAATCCAGATGTAAAAAAAAGTGTAGCCCTAATAGTCAGACTAACATTAGACAATGACTGCATTTAAATAGACACAGGTGTGTTTATACCTGTAAACATCACACACTTTCAGACACCAGGGTAAATTATGATCTTTACTGTAATGCCCAGCAGGAAACCAGTCACCACTCATTACATGACCATGGTTTTTTGTAAAGCTGTTTCACACACAACCCCACACAAAGCTTACTGTAGTATAGCTACATGTGATTTTGTAAGTCTTCTGCAGCTTTGCCTCAGTCTTTAATTAAGGTTTTGCCGTCTTTCTGCTAATAATCGCAGGTCTGAAATTGACTTGCTGGAGATACATATTTCAGAAATGTCTTTCATCTCGCCCATTGTCTCCTGGGATTGGCTCCAGCCCGTGATCTTCCAAGGATAACTGGGTATAACAAATGGATAGATGGGTAGATGGATGTTTTTTCATTTGCATTGCCACACGACTGGCAGACAATTTTTGATGACATAACTGATTTACACAAGTTTTGTGTAGAGCTGTGAAAATAACCATCTCATCACTAAACAAGGGATCTAGTTCATTTCCAGTGCAAATGTTTTGTCCTGCGGGGCAACAAGAATACACAGAGATTTGAACTAGGAGGACCTTGAACCAGCTGGACCTTCAGACCTTTGCTCTGTATTTGGACTCCTAGATTTTGCAAACTGAAGATTTGCAAATGATGAAAGGCACTGTGCAGCAAGTGAACTAACCTCCAACCTATTTCAATCATAGTTGAAGAAAAAAAAATGTTTCTGTGCACCAGGATTTTTGAGGGTTTATTATTTTTAAACTAAACTAACTAAACTTTGTACAGTAAATTATTGGAATACTCTCAGACTTTGAATCAGCAAAGCGGCTGCTGAAATAATTGGCAAACCAAAAACACGAGCCTCAAACTAGCCTCACTGATTTTTAGATTTTATTTTGCCTGTGAATTTTAGCATTTGGGATGTGTTGGTGTCTTCAGATTAGCTTTGCATTGACAAACCTGTGTGTACTGCATCGCAAGGGTGTATAGCAGGTTAGATCTTTTTTTTAATTACATCTGTGGCCAATCTAGGCTTTACTCTCTCATGTGTTAATTTCTTTTATCTGTCTTTCTACTTCTGCATTTGTTTTGAAGTTCTTTGATATTTGTACAATTTGTTTTTGAGATAAATGTGAAGATAATAAAGCAGTAAATCTGAGAATGACTTGTGTTTTTTCTTGCATCTTTTGTGTTTTCCCAAATTACACACCACACACACTAGCAAAGTGAATTTAGCATTTAATTGTTTGTGTTTCTTACGGCAAACACCCATGGTTCAACGGTAAGGGCCAAGTAAAATGCCACGTCAGGCAAGTAAATTTAGAAACTGACTTGGCTGATCGGGCAAGTGACATGAAAGTGACACAATGTTTTGGTGTAATTTATTATCACACTGTAGCCTCTACCCTCTTCTTTGTCGGGGAAGAGAAAGAGAGAGAAGCAGCCCAATGCAATATCCACACAGAAAAGCAAAACATTAAAGGTTGTCGTGGTACGGACACCAATGAAAATTAATATTGGTACTAACAATGATAACATTAATAATAGGACTAATTATAATAATTGTAGCAGCGGGAGTCAAGCAGGAACCTGGGGGCAGCAGAAAGTCTACAGTAATCTTCCATGACCACCCCAACCCCCTGCCTAGTGTGTGTTTTAACGTTGAAAGTCATCTAGTTTAAACTAGGCATTACGTTGCAGAAAGGGTGTCTTTATTGTCCACAGCTTGGCTGTTAATCTTGTTATCATGACAAACGCCTACCTCGGCAGAGGAATCAGAGTCCGTACTTGGTCTGGGAAGTGTGGGAGCAACACCTTTATGGTTGGGAGTGTGAAAACAGCTTTTAAATCCAGAGAAAGTCAAAGCAGGGTTGTTACTGCCTGTGATCTCCTCAAACACTTACCTACGGTCCCATGTGTCTGGGTAAGAATAGCTTGGCTATCACTACACTACAGAGGTGATACATGCTGCAAAGGTTCAGTTTAGAAAACACTGCTGCAAAACAGGCGGAGTACTACCGGAAAAGACAACAGGAGTGACTCAAAGCACAGGAGTAAATCACAAAAAACTAGCTACTGGAAAAACACTAGAGGCAGATTTAAAAAAGATTTTGAAATCAGATTAGATCACCTAATTAAATCTTGTTTTTTAGGATTGGGATACCTTTGATCCAAAAAAAACAGAAGGGTGGATTCAGGGTGGATTGTATAAAAACAAAATGTAATATCTATCCATCGTCAACCACCTATCCTGTGCACAGGGTTGCGGGAAATCTTAAAAGGTTTGGATCTGGATCATGGTGATCCATTCCATTGTTACTTTGAAAAAAATGGCACAAAAGTAAAATGGCTTACTTTATCCTGGATCGCAAAACATGGGGTTTCCAAATCCGGATCACCCTGATCCAGATACAAACCTTCCAAGAATACCAAATCTAGATTACCAGCGCTCGAAATGGGACTACATATCACAATGTAGACTGCTAGCTATATAAACAACAACAGGTTGAATAACCAGCGGGGAGTCACTTTACGTCACTTGTGGGGTCACTTTACTTTGAAAAAACAGCACGATTACACAACGACGGTTGAGGTCAATGGCAACTGGACTTTGTAGAAAAAACTAGAAGACGTTTCGTCCCTCATCCAAAAGACTTCTTCAGTTCTGACCGACTGGTAGGGAGTCTGAACGACAATCGTTGGTATCTTCACCTGAGGCCAAGAGGAAAGGCTTGTTCAGTTTCCCTGGAAGTAATGAAAGGACCACATTGTAAGTGGTTGACAAGTGGTGGCGTACACCCCCTCCTCTGTTCAACGACGGCTTCTCAACCTGGGTGTAAATGGCTTCCCTGACAGCTCTTTCAAACTATCCATCTTCTCTGTCTAAAATGTGCACCTGGTGATCTTCTGAAGGACAAAGGACACTTGTTTGAGGATCACCAGGTTAACCTCCCACTGAGGTTAAATAGCTGAGTTTCCCTACCAGTCGGTCAGAACTGAAGAAGTCTCTTCGATGAGGGACGAAAGGTCTTCTAGTTTTTTCTACAAAGTCCAGTTGCCCTTGACCTCAACCTTCGTTGGATAACTATGACCTGTCTACACGAACACGGGTATTTTCATAACCGTGACTTTTTTTACGCGGTTGGGCCGTTCTTCCTCACGGTAACGCAGTATCAGGTCACTGAAACCGCACACTTTTGAAAACCCCTGCCAGGGTGAGGATTTTCAGAAACGCCGGTTGCAGAGTTGTCGTGTGGACAGTAAAACTGGGGGTTTTGCCTTGCGATGTCAGATTGTGCGCCACTGCCTGCTTTGTTTAAAATTTTATTAGGCTCTTATTGGCCGACGTGGCTTTATGGTTAGGGTCATATCGCCGCCAGGTGGATTGGCATTCTCTTGACAGCTATTGATAACGTGTGTTTTCATGTGGACAGAGATTTTTTTTAAACGAAGGAGTAAAAACTCCGGTTATAAAAATACCCATGTCTGTGTGGACTAGGCCTGAGAACCTTCACTGACAGCACAATGAAACAACATACAGTACAATACAAGGTTTTCCCAAAACAATCAGACCACTTAACCCGACCCACAACAAATAAATGACAACAAACAAATATACATTATTCACAAATAAATTCAGGATATTTTAAACGTGCTTTAAATCATCAAGGCTAACTGAGCCTTGCTTCAAGAGGCAGATCTCAAGTCTGGCTTTGGTTTGCTGAGGTTGGGTAAGAGTGATTTGTTCCACTGCCAGACGAATCTGTACTTCTGCTTTTTCTTGTTTAAGAAGTGATTTATAGGCATCATCATCTTTGTTTGGCAAAGAACGCTTCCGGCCTCTTTTCTGAGCTCCTGTCTGTCCTGATTTTTTTATTGGGGCAAAACAAATCCTGTTCCTTTACTGTACTGAAAGCCTTAATATGTAATGCCTACTTTATCACTGTAATGTTTGAACAAAGTGCAAAATATAAATAAATGTATATATACAAAATGACGGGTATGTTATTCGTTGACCAATTTTAAGGTTTTATTACATTTTGTTCCTTAAATCCCTTTCAGGGTTATTTTAGTCTTTTTAACAAGCCATTTTCAAGATTTGATCTAATCCAATAGATGAAATCCGATCAGATTACCTCTGAACAACTGGGCCCAGGAGCATTTAATCAGGATGTTGATGAGTAAATTGATACCAGGTGTGCAGTTCCGCCAGGTGCCCACAGTGAACGACACACACAGACGAATATTTGGGACAATACACGTTTGTTGTGAGTCTCTGTTCTTAATCCTCCTCCTCCAAAACTGATCTTTGAAGATGAAGAAATGTCAGTTATGTAGAGAAATAGAGCATATTCTAACAACTATATTTTGACTGTAGATTCAACACAGTATGCAGATATTAGTTCATTAAATGGAACGAAAGTTACGTGCCTTGGTTTGAGATTTTGATTCAGTGAGAGAAGTGATATAATGTATGCTGCGGCGTTCATTCCTATGAAATCTCTATTAATTTTCCCTCTGACAAGCGCAAGCTAATTTCTCATGAATAATAAAAGCTTTAGATCTGATATAATTTTGGTGTCTTTGATCAGGAGCATGACACACTGCCAACTGTTCTTATGCTCATTAACAAACCTTAATCAAACTATATTATCTCCTGTGCAGCGTGGAATATCTACAACTTGTTGTTGACCCTGCTTTTACAGATATATTTTAATCCTCTAAATTGATGGTTCAAGGGTTATTATGGGTATTGCCAGGTCATGAAATGAATTGTGACCAGTCACCATGTTTGCTTATAGTTGGCCTTTAGTGGTATCATCCAGCATTTTTTCAATTATGTTTTTTTTTTGTATTTGAGTTAAAAAAAAAAGTCCATGCTTCTTGGTCTGTTTAAATACCATCAAAACTTCTCTGACACAATATGGCTTCAAACTTTTTTTTTCTCTGCTGTTTTTCTTGCTTTTATGCATTTGGTCTCACTTGGTGTGGATCAACTCGAAATATCCAAATGATAGTGACTGTGTTTTTGAGAACGGGAGGTGAATGAGGCTGATGTAACAAGAAGGAACTGGTTTGGGAGACAAAAGCTGAGAACTAGGGGAGGTGCATGAGAGAGACATAGAAAGACATAAGTAACAAGAGAGAGACTGAACTACCTGCTAAACAAGTAAGTTATCTTTATGTTTCAGCTCATCCTTTACATGAAATCTTCTGAACTGTAAGTACAGTACTGTAACAGAAAAAATTAAAAACGTGTGTTCTTCTGTAAAAATCACTCTGTCCTGTACATTATTCTTTCTCTAACACTTTTTATTTTGTGCTTATCATCTGCCTGCTGGTTCCTTTAGTCTTCATTTGCCCCATTTCCTGTGCCAGTTCCCAGCACCTTCCCCACAGCTCAACTTTAAAATACTGCAAGTAAAGTTCCTCCATACACACATTAGGTGTGTGTTTGTGTGTTAACTTATACTGAAGTAACGAGGCATTGAAGTTTGGGGAAATGTGTGTGTGCAGTTACAGTTAGGGTTTTAATTAAAAATGTTAGAAATTTTTGCTTCCTGCTGATACACGTTGCTTTGCAATGCTGGGCTGTAAGTATTTGGCACATTTCCTGTGTGTGTGCATGAAAGAGATAAAGAAAGGGCAGTCAGATGGGAGAAGGGTTGAGAGAATTACATATTATTAGCTTGGCTTTTTTGCTGACAAACAGAATGGTGAGCAGCAACTAAAGGGGAGTAGAGAGGAAGACAGATGCATCTCGATTAATTGTACAAACCATTATTGCCCCCAAAGTGAATGGTTATGACTCAGTCAGCTATGAATTACATTTAAGTGCACTGCCATAAATTCACAGATACTGGCCTCACCTCAGTGCCCCACTTTATTTGATACGTTATTATATTCACATCTGTTTTTATAAGAATATATTTAAAGTTTTCACTGAATGAAGCCTTAGCTTGGCGCACTAACTCTCCTCGTCCGTATCCACATCAATAAATCCACAGGACCACTTGGTAAAAAAAACTATTAGTTTACAAATACAACAAAGAAAATTACAGAAACAAGTTGATAAGTTAATAAGAGAAAAATAGAGAAAGAGAGGGAGAGAGGTCAAAAAACTAGGTGACTCAACTCTCTGCTTGCCTGACTTCCTAAACTTTCTCGTGAGAGTATCCCCAAGCAATTAAAGGTGCATGCAGTTAATAGGAAAATGCAAGTCCTCTATTCCCCAAATGAAACAATGTAATATAAATGCACTCTACACACATTTTAAGTGCTAGAAACCAAACAATAAACTTACTGCACCACTGTTAATAATGACTAATAAATACTGATAATATTCTCCACATCAATGAACCATGTAAATGACTGTTAAATAATTGCATATTACTCAGCTGAATATTTGTATTTATCAGCAAACTACATTTAGGCTCTGACATATATTATTTTTGTTTTGTTTTGTTTGTTTCCTCCCCTTATCAGTTCAATGTGTATAGCAGAGGTGCCAACACTATTTCACTGCTTGTGAGCTACTTTTAAAATGAACAGCTTAACATGATCTAACAACCAAAAAATAATATCACGTTGGACATAAAATGTACCTTGCATGACTACATGGGTGCATTGACAATGGCATTGATTGATTGATAGGACTGATTTGATTTTATATCAAGTTAACGGCTAACTTATATGAGGGAAGCACCAGGAAATACCAGTGGAGTTAAATCTTCACCGGCAGGCTGCAGTATTTGGTATTGATTGCGGACCTGGAGCTCCCCAATTAACTGTACTCTCATCATTTCTGTTTACACTCTCTGGCTTTTAACACAACTCTGGAACATGTCATCTCCAGAAGTTCTCGGATGACTCCTGCAACGTGAGCTGCATCAGCGAGGACAAAGAGGAATGTACACATGGCGCCTTTTGTAGTCCTCTGACCGCTTTCACACACTGATGACAGAGGCTAACGTGCAAGGTGCCCACTGCTCATCAGAAAATCATTCACTCAAGCGTGAGTAAATCCAAATAAGCTCTGACGTCGGAACTGAGTTTTGAGGGGTGCTATCAAGCTGAGCAGATAAATGAGAACAAGACGTGGATTAAAAGTGTGATGGGTACGTTGTGTTGCCTGTATGTGGACATGCAGTATAAACAAATGTTCTTCTACAGTTCTACAAGATGCAAGTACTGCAATATCACTTTAACTCTATTCAAAGGTGTACTGTGTAGTTCAGGCAGTTTCAGAGGCAAAATATATTTCACAGTATAATAAACAAAACTGAGCTAATAGGAGTAATGGGTCCCTGGGACAGTGTGAGATATCATACACAAGAAGAATTACAGGAAGTACATGTATAGTAATTATGTTTTGTAGACTCATTTTATATGATCTGCAAATGTGAGCAAATCCCCAATTGAATAACTAGTGTAGGGGGATGTCAGTGTAAGCAGTAGATGCCACATACAAGTGTTAGATATCTCCAGAAAGCTGGGACTGTGAAGATTCATTTTAGATGCAGCTTAACACGGTGTCAATGTTTTCCACACATTGATATATTAATAAAATGGAGAATGGTCAGAGTGTGTGAGAGAGAGAGGCATTATGTGGGAGACCTATGATAGCCATTGCCACGCTCCATTAAATGTAAAAAGTAGTGAGGCATTTCCCAATCCTTTGACTTAATCCTAATGTCTGGACTCGTGGACTCAAAATAATCCTCACAAATAGGTGGAGATTCACAAATATATTTCCACTGAAAAATGTGAATTTGATCTGCGAATGATGATATAAGAGTGGTAAATTAGAGGCACAGCTAGAGATTTACAGATTCAAATCACACACATTTATTTGTGCATTGTTTTTTTTTTTTACGAGTTACGCAACATGTCATTTGTTTGTGAATACTAATGAGACTGTTTTAAACCCATATAACATATCTGATACAGAGAGAAGTAGCTCAACCAGTAACATCTGTAAATTTGCAGGTTTTAATTCAAAGGCAGCAGTGAGTATCTGTTTTTAACTCTCATCTTAGAAAAGTACAAGTATAAAAACACTGAGACCCCGTGGGACTGATTATGTAAGTAAGTCAATAATCTTAGTCAATGATTCAGTGTGTATGTGAGGTTTGGGTGGTGGTGTTAATATGAATGTGAATAAACAATATTTAGTTGTGCATTATTTTTTTTTTGTTAACCTCACAGCTCATTGTGGATTCTCTTATACCTTCTCTTTGCAGGCAGCAGCTGCAGTCAGTAGCCGTCTTTCCATCAAATTGGTAAGCGAATTTGAAACGAAATTTTGTCACAAAGAGGAAATGTGAAAGGTGTGTTTCCATCAACTAGTTTGCAGTGAATAAAGTAGACTATAGCGTAGTTTTGTCCTTTTGAGTTGCAGCTGCACAAATAAATCGTGAGAGAAGCAGCTGTGTTATGGTTTTGGGTTTTAGTTTTATTATTTCCCGTTTTTATGTTGAAAGAGTCCTTCCTCATGTGTCTTCAATGCTTAAAACTGTTTAGTGTGAAATAGGCTTTAAGACACATTCAGACTGGGAAAGTCCGCTAGTTTACTTTCTTTGGTCCAGACCAAATACAATGTAGATTATGTTTTTTTGTTGTTGTTGTTGTTGGTGCGATTCACTTTCACACTGCCCTTTTTTGCACATATTTACTAAGGTCATCTATTCATTGGACAGACATTCTGAAGCAGGGAAAAGAAGAAAGAAGCTTGCTCGATTCACAAACCAAGCTATACTATACAAGCTCCGGTGGACAGAGCGTTCTTATGTGCGCCTACCACGGCGTGCTGACAGTGTCATCGTGCAGAAGATGGATCAGGTATAAAGTTTGAATTGATAGAGTTCACATAACCAGATCAACCGATTATTACGTCAGACATTATTACTTCTACTGCTGTGTAGTGTAATGAGTCATGTTAAGCCGTTCATCATCACTCTTAATTACATAATAAAAATCAGACCCTGTCACACTCTGCCTAGGCACACAATGCATTTGTCTCCAGATCTTTCTGTCATATGAGGTAGTTATAAGTAATGAGGTAGTTAGTGTAATTATAGACACAATCCGCACTGACTGCGAGATCCCTTTTAAAAAGGCTCAGTGCTTTCTGCAATTTTGTTGGATTGAAGTTGGACCACTTAACACCTTGAACCGTACCAGAGTTCTTTAGCTGGGTCTCGGTACGGTTGTTTGGTCCGTGCTTAAGTGTGATTGCTGTATTCACACCTGCCCAAAAGATCTGCACCAAGAAGGAAAATGAAACTCTAGTGCGATTCATTCGAACCAAGCAAGACAGGTGTGAAAGCACCCTTTGTTATGGTGTTGGTATTTGTGTTCAGTATTTTCCTGGTTTATTCCTGGTTAGGCCCTTTTCAGTGTCTGGTAGTTGTTATTCCCTGTTTTGTTGTTCCATGTCCTTTTGTTTTTTCAGTTGTTCATTCATTCATTCCGAGTTCTTTGTTTTATTCTGTTAGTTGCCATTTTAGGGAGTTTTACTTTCTGGTTTATGTTGGAATTGTCTGTGTCTGGTGTTTTTGTCTAGCTTTATTTTCTCCTAATCTCTTTCACCTGTTCACTCCTTCCCTCCTCTGTATTTATCTGCTGGTTTATTCAGTCTCCTCATCGTTTGTTGTGTGTTTTCTCATTCTTCAGAGAGTGTTTATGGATTTCGTTCCTTCCCTGTTTTGATACTGCTTGTACTCATTTTGAATTTGGACTCAGGGTTGGACTGGTAATCTGGCATACCGAGCAAATTCCCGGTGGGCCGACGCACCCTTGGGGCAGGTGAAATATATGAAAATGTCCCCAGAGTGCAGGAAATTAAGTTTTTAATGCTCCATCTTCTGGGAGGACACCCAGACCCCCCTATCAACTATTTCATCAATTATTTTTTTTACATAAATAGTAAACATATTAAAATAATATAAGTGTTTCATCACACCCCTAATCTGAGCCCTTAAATGGAAGGATGATGTAATGATGAGGGGTGTCTGACCGATTTTGTTAGGCCACCAGGGCCGGGTTTTTTTGTCCCAGCCCTGCTTGGACTCCTTTTGTGATGGACATTTCTGCAAGTGAATTTGTGCTCTTTATGTCTGGCTTTAATAAATCAAAAATACTGTCCATGCCTAGTTTTTTCCTGCATATGGGTTAGAAACCTGTTTTTCTGCCTGAGCCCACAGCTAATTGTGATACCCTTTGCCCCATGTGTCAGGTGTTTCAGCCTTTTCCCTAGTTTTGTTTGGACATCTATGCTTTGTTCTCTTGGACCTTGCCTGTATTTGGATTTTGCCTGCACCCTGTTGGATTTGTCTGCCTGATTTGGACATCCTTCTCTGGCTTTGGCCCGTGCCTGCCTGACCATCTAGTGAGCCTTCTGTACATCAACTGTGTCAATAAATAAATTTTACTGCACCAGTTCTGCCTCTGCAGCATTTGGATGCAGAATTTACCTTGTTCTTACCTTGCTTGCACAACCTTGATAAGCTGTCCTGATTAAAACTGAAGCATATTTTTTCCACCGGATAGACGTGAGACATTCTGTGTTGACAGGCTGTTACAGCTGACACTGAGATGTGTGTGTGTGTGTGTGCTGTCTCTCCAACTAGCTGTCTCTGTCTCTCTGGTAAAGTTGGTAGGTCATACAGGGACCAATAAAAAGTCATTTCCGCTCGGTTGATCTTCACAATCCCTAATTACAGAGTCAACAGCAATGCACATGCACCCGCAAACACACATCCACCAGCTCTCAAGCCTTTATCCCAAACCTCCTTTGCTTTTAATAATTTGGTCATAATCCAAACTTGGGTGTCTGGGGAGCAAAATTTGTCTTTTTTCACAGCACACTAGGCTTTTCAGCTTAAAAAACGAACATGCCTCAGAAATGTATAGTCAGCCTTTTATTTTGTGTGTGTTGCTTCAGTGAGCAACCGTGAGTCTTGGTCCTGTCAGATAAGAACACTGCCTGCTAAATGCCAGCTCTGCAGAAGTTAAAATTAAAGGTTATGTTTTGTAATCCTAGTTCTTCACTGCAGACAGAACCCTCTAAAGCTAAACTATTCCAGCATAAACTTGGACCTTGCTTAAAAATCTGTAAAGATGACGACGAGGCTGTCCTACCACAGTAACCATGGAAACCGCTGTGCACCATGAAAACAGTCAAAAGGGGCATTCAGATTGAACACAAAGTGATTTTTCACCTTGCTTTATTTGCACATATTACACCACTGGAGTGATTCTGCAATCTGTGTAATGTCATTGACAAGCAGTGCACTCCAGTCACTGAAGAAGAAGGAAAGCGTTTGTTCTTTCTCTCTCTCTCTGATACACTTATTCCACCGTAAATAACTTCTCATGCCGTCATGACCCCGAAGAAATATTTTCTTTGTCTGCTTTCATGTTCATAAGAAAGTCTGAATGTGGTTTCAGGACTGATTTTACTATGTTTTTTTTCCCCTTGTTGTTTCTTATGGCAGATGGACCTCTAGGCACTGACAGAGATAATCAGAGCAGAGAAAAGCAAGTCACTCAAGGGAGTTTAGAGTTTTTCTGTCTGTTGACCAGGGTTTTTCCTTCGCAGTGCTACAGCAGCTGAATAAACAGACAAGAAATTTGACACATCACACAAATCAGTGTCTCATTATTCTATTTATCCTTGGATTATATGCAAAATTATTGATATGATTCCAAAAAGCAGTTTTAAATCTAAAGTATTTTCCTGAGGTATTAAATATAAATTTTTTAAATAAGCAAATTTTAAGTAAAAATGGCATCTGTTATGGTTATTAAATGTAATTAAGGACAAGTATGCATTAGCACATATTAAACCCTCTAAAAAGGAGATATGAAATACTTTCTAATTGTTCATTACACTCTTGTTATGTTGCACAAATACTCTCACACTCAAACACATAACGCACAAACAAGCCCTGCGGTGTGGTCACAGTGTGTTTCTCGGTCACTGGCTTCACTAAAATAAGATTGTGTATTATGGATGAAGGGCTTTCTACTTTCTGTTTCTTTTGGCCTTTCTCTCTGTTCACTCTACTTTTTGTACATGTGGGCGGCATCTTATCCCTTCCTTTGCCCTTACTGTATAAACTCTAGATTTGCCTTTGTGTAGTTTGAATTACTGTAAAAATGACTACTTGAACAGTTACCCTCTGTTGTACTGTTAACAATTGTTGTTAGCTAAGGATCTGACTAACAGCAGCAGCATCCAAACACACACGCAGAGCAAATAATTATTTAGCATTACAGGAAGCACATTGGGGGGTTGAAAAAGCAGTATTGTTTCAGAATCTATAATCTTTCATTATCTAGTTGTTTCCAAAAGTTGAAGGTTTCTGAGCCAACAACTGCCAACTCTCATTCTTTTGGTGTGAGACACTGATTTTCAGGCTCTGTCTCATACTGCACAATAAAATGTCAAATGAAAAGAGGCTGCAGCACCACACCATGACAGTACCTGTGTACATGCAGTACTGGACAAAAGTCTTAGGTTGCTGTGGAAAGGTAGGGCCTTGCACAAAGAAAATTGACTAGTTTGCAGGTGTGCTATAAGATACCTAGTTGGGATGGAGTCTAAGAGGCAGGTTGATGGCTTAGATGAAGAAATCATTTTATTCAGTTGGTGAAAATCAATGAGAGCAAAGCAGTCTAACTATATATGAGGTTTTACAGCTGTTTCTAAAGTTCCTGTGTTTGAAGATGAATCTGTACTGGTTGAGGGCAGGAGGTGATGCAGTTTCTCTGTAATAATTAGAAGTTTATCATTAAAGAAGCTGAAAGAAGTCGTTACTACTGAGGGCTTTAGGGATACATGGCTCAATAGAGCTGTGAGTCTCTGTCAGCCTGGCTACAGTGCTGAAAAGAAACCTGGGGTTGTTCTTATGAGTAATGAGCTGCGATGGCATTATGGAGGGCTTTACTATATGTTTTAAGACTATTTTGCCAGACTAAAGGAGATTTTATTTTTTCGCTAAGGTGCTAACCTCCTTCGTTTTATCTTCTTTTTTAGCGGCGCAATAGAGCTGATTTGTAGTGAGCTATCAATTAGGGTGGGACTGAAGTTTGCATAGGGTTTTTTTTGAGACCTGGTGAATTAAATGCCAATGGAATCACTTCCTTAAAGGGATAGTTTGGGATTTGTGAAGTGGGACTGCATGAGGTGTATTACCTGAAGTAGATGGCGGCCAGCGCGCCCCAGTTTGGAGAAGCAGAAAGTTGTACTGGCAGAGAAGTTAAGCAATGTGCTGATGTGGACAGAGTCAGCAGCAAAATGTATTTTAGCCACCTAAAAGAAGGCCCACTGAATATCAGTTCAAATGGATGCTATTTTTAGAATATTTTCAGCACTTTACTTTGCCGTCAGACATTTACTTTTTACAGTGCGCAGCCAAGTTGCGCTTATGCGTGGGAGTTGCGGAAGTTCTACGGTTGAGGAAAATGTTGTTTCAAAGTCACCTACAATAATTATTTCTGTTTTAAGGACTTAACTTGACAAGAACTCTGAGAATTCAGATAGAAATTCAGAAAACAGACCAGGAGAGCTTTACATTATAACAAATATAATTGGTAGTGGTATTTCCCAGGTAGGGTGTGAAAGACAAAGACTTTCAAATGAGTAATTTAGTTTAGGTTTACGGTTGATGGAGTCGAAGATAGCTGCAACTCCCCCTCCTCATGTTCTTCATAATCTAGCCAGGTTTCAGTAAGACAAAATAAGTTAATGTGATAATCTGATATTAAAGTGTACTGCCTTAGAGAGATCTGATGTCCAAATTTAATTGCCTATTTTGTTGCACTATTGCAGTGTTTGTTTTATTAGTAGGTTTTTATGCACAGCTCCTCCTCTGTTTACTTTTGATTTAATTTAATTTAAGTAGTCGGGGGCAGACACCGTCTCCACGGGGTTTTGAGGTAATTGCTCCAGCGGAAGCACAGAGATGCGAGTGCGACTGCAACTCCGCCTCCTGGTATCAACTCTGGGTTGTCATAGCTTTGGATCAGACAACTGTTTGTCAGATTTCCAGATATGAGAAATGCTCCATCCAAAGTGGGATGAATGCCGTCTCTACTGATCAGACCAGGTCTTCCCCAGAGAGTCCACCAATTATCTACAAAGCCCACATCATTTGCTGGACACCACCTGGACAGCCAGCAGTGGATTTATGACATGTGAGAGCATTTTGTTGAAATAGACACCTTAATCTCAAATATATTTGGACACATTAGTTTGCCTTGTGAATGGGGAAAAATGCTGATTTATAAGACATGGTTGAGCTGGCCTTCAGTCAGTTTTTCTTATTGAAAGCATCCTGAGCAGTTATTAACTTGTAACATCAAACACGCCTCATGTTGGGTCATTCTTCAACTCTGACTGGACACAATGATGTTTTCTGACCATCAGTTGGGGAAGTTGAGGCTATCATTATTAGTTCTTATAGCTCTTGTCTTTTGTCCAGTGGCGTAAGTACCACCCGTGCAGCCAATGCAATGGACCGGGGCCCAGCTGATTACAAGGGCCAGCGAGGGACGGCGACAATTGCCACGTGGATCATAATCAGATGCCGTCATCCATTTATTCATACTGTGTTGGCATAATGAGTTGCTGTGCTTTTCTTGATTGCAATTTGTTCTGTGGTTATTGACATACTGTGTCAGCTAATTTGTGTCGATTTGTTACTGTAGGCTGGTTAAAGCTGTTTGTTTGATAGTCAGAGACAGCAGGTTTGAGTCGACGGCAGGCTGTCGTATTTGCATTTGGCACTTTGGCTGCTGTCCTTGGTGCTGATCAAAGGCTGCAGGTTTGCAATTGTGTGGAGTCATTGTGTGTCTGTACGCCCGTGTGTACACGAATGTGCATTTTGGGACCGGGGAGCACAGGAAAAATATTTGCACCAAGGCCAATTCCATTTATGAGACACTGCTGCCTTTGTCATTTATATAGATTTGTTTCAATCATGCTGTTTAAAAATAATAACTAACTGCACAAAACCAGAAGTAAAATCCTTCACATTGTCTCATTATATCACAGTTTTCAGTACGTCGTCATTTAAACATTTTTAATTCTGATTTTACATAAACGAGGCTCTGGCTAACCAAATTATTTTGATGATGATT